TATAAAAACTAGTTAGCAGACAACCGTCGATCATTTCAACTTCAAAATATTAAAGAAACTCTTATCGTACAGAGTAATTAAAATGTAATTTATAAAAAAATTTTTATATTTATAAAATCATAAATTTTAACGGTGGTTACACAATTTTAATATGTTAAATGAATAAATAAATAATGATTACAATAAGTTTAATGTTAATTTTATTTAAAGGGCATCTTTTTAATTTTTCGGGGCATTGTTTAGAGTTTTTAGGTCATAAATGCATTTTTTTTTTAAATATTTTTAGAGCATTTAAATCCAAGCCCCGGTAATAACTAATAGCTTCGTTGCAGCGGTCGATCTATTGCCACTGTCAGTCCGCTGCGCCCGGCGGATCGGTCGTCGTCAACGGTCCACAGCCGTTCGCCGTCTCGCTCGCCTGCACATCTATATATATATGTACGCGGTCCGCAATGGGCAACCCACTTTTTTGAAACCATTGTCATCGGGATCGGACCGGGGTGTGTCGCAAAGTCATGGCTGGCAATCGACTCACAAAGGATCTCGGCGGCCGTAATATTATATACATACCGTTCCCCGTCCCTGGTGATGACTTCAGATCGGACCCAGTCATAAATAAATACACTTTACCGCCACCACCACATCGAACTTTAGGCATCGCATTTGTCACCGGTCATCTTTCAACTCGCGTAGTGGCCTGCGGATATAAGAACATAAAACTTATCACCTATAATTTTGTTCACGACAGTATATGTATACACGTGTACATACATATGGTCACTGCGTTAACGGTTTAATAAATTTTGGCCCGTCAAAACGTGCCGTTTCGTTTCATTTATTTGCAAGCCCATTTACGACGTTTTTATACTCACATTCACGAACAACTGCGTGATTCATATTCAAAGGAAATATTATAATAATGATAAAACTAATTAATTACGCAGACGGTATATTCCCTCAGATGAATGCTGTATAGGTACTAGATATATGGAATATAATAGTGGACAGAAGTCCAAAGGTGATCGCTGGTCATATTTTATAATAGATAGATAAGAAAAATATATGTGTTATATCCAAAATTATAAAAAGTTTATAATATTCAGTTCAGGGGGGGTATACTTTATAACAATTTGCCAAAGCTGTGAAAAAAGAAGTTTCTGTTTAGTATTTATTCCAATTTATAGAAACCTGATATTCTCTAAAATATATGTGATTTGAATATATTTTCTGTATGCATATGTTATTATTTTATTCCGTAGGTTCTTCCTGTTTCAAAACAGGACAACACCTATATATTTTCGAAAAAAAAATACTTATTGTACAAATGAAATAATTGAAACTTATAAATAACTAACACGTTGGTCTATTACTTAAAAGTGATAGGAAATATTTTAATAATTTACTATTTATGAAATTTAGTTCAAACAATCGGATACCATTCGATTTCTCTACATAGACGTGCCTACCTATTATTTTATTATCTATTAAGTTTTTTATTAACTAATTTTTCCGTTCATAGCGTTCCCAATATTTATAAATTATTATGCCACTATTGTTATAATAACAATAATAAACAATAACAATCATTATCCATTATAACAGCGGCTATTTATTTATTTTTTTTTTTTTTAAAAGCTGCGTAAAATCATATTTGGAATTATAACGATTATAATTAAATAGAAAAATTGAAATATTGTATAAATACGTACAGTGGTTTTCGTTCAAGATTGTAGAAAATTTGGGATTGAAATTTTTATTTTTATTGGCATTACTTCATTAAATTTCTTTCTGCAACTACAACTTGATGTAAAATTCGTTAAAGATTTGAATAACAGTACGAGATTAATTCTTAAGGAATTGATGTTCTACTTTTAGGTCGGATAAAAAGAAACCTAATACTTAAAATTGTCTCACAATTTTATCAGTCAACGAAGGTACATGTAAAAAAGTATTATACAGCGACTAAACTATCTCAAATATGATAAAATAAAAAATAATAAAAATAATTATTTGTTTTTAACACATATTAATGATAAAATTTCCATTCTTTTTCGGATAAATATAATTAGCACCTATCAACAAAGCTAATATAAATGTAATAAACTACAGTATTCCGTTAATATTTTTTAACCTGGGCAAATCCAATCAACACAATTATGAAATAAAATAGACAACTATAATAAAGATTACGTGTTACGTTTGTGTTTAATATTTTCAAGGTGTACTCGGTAACGTTGAACAGAAATTAAAGGAAGCTTTCGAGTGATATCATCCATCGAGGGAAATATAAAAAAACATATCAACATTGCACTGTGTCAATTGAGTTTATAAACAAATAAATAAATAATAAACGCACTAACAAAAATTAATACCGATTGTAATACACTGAAACGGTTGTCAAATATTTTAAATAAAATACGTGCAAAATCGATTATAACTCAACTGGTAATCTATATGCAACTGAAGTAATATTAAAACTTTGGAAAAAATGTTAATAAATCTAAGAATAAATATGATATAGAGATAATTATACCAGTTATACCTTTGCTAGAGATCTTTTATGAATTATAAGAATATATTTATATGCCGAAAATTATCATTAGACAAAACAAATAATATAAAACTAGTTTAGTGATCTTGGAAATATTAGTCACAAAAGACATAAAAATACATTAAAAAGCTTATTGAGTATTTCATCCAGCAAAGGCCAACAAAACATTTCGGCATGTGGGTAGAATATAAATGTTAAATTTTTGACTAGCAAATTTTAAAATTTCATATGTGATAGACATTTAAAATCATTCAATTTTATTTTAAGAAAACATTTTGAGAGGTCAAAACCTTTAATCCCTTTGATTACGGCCTTGTGTCTAGCGTTGTAATACTTAAATCTAAAGATGAAGATAACATTAAAATAAACATAAAATGTAATAAGTTTCTTTTTATTAAATTAATTAAATAAATAGTAAATAAATAATTAAATATATGTGGAGATTTACAAAATTATAAAACATGTATTCACATAAATAGTATACTTTTTATCACAGAAAAATTGTTGTGATTGAGTATCTGAAACAACTGGAACCATGGAACGCTCATTTGGCTCTGCGATGATATTAGATGATAAGCCAACACAATGTGGTAAGTATAAGACACATCACTTGGACCGCCTGTTTTGGTGAACTACTTCTGAGGAACACCGGTGATCTATCTTTCAATTTACTAGAGTCATCTTTAAAAAAAATAATAATAATAATAATAAAATTAAATACTAATTTATCACCATTAATTTGCGAATATTACGCATAATACAGTGAACGATCCCAATATTATACAGGATAAAAATAATTAAATAGATCATTGATAATGATTTGAATTTTTTCACTGGAACACTTTTCGATAAACCGCTATCGAATTTATCGCTTCATAAGGCACTCGACATTTTTTTCTAGTCTTATTAAATAGAATTGTTTAAAAAACAACGATAAAATACAGTGATTCTATAAACTTAAAACATTCCTTCCTATTGGATTATTTCAGTTTCGGACTATAGTATGTACGTTTTACAAAATTTTTAAATAAACTATATCTTAATTTTTTAAATACAATATAATATAAAATATTTTTATGAGTTCTAACATGTTGAGAATTTTCATGAAAAATAATAAATATTATACAACTTAAACTCAAGCAGTATATAGTATTTGCACAATTTTATTTAATGCATCGATTATTACGAATATTTGTCTTCTTGTTTACTATATAGAATCGGATTGTTCTTTATGATGCATTTAATTCGATAGATTTCATAAGACTAATTTATGAAATGAATGATTTAATAAGTATTGTTGTTCACATTCATAAAATTAATGGAAAAAAACATGTTCAAGGCCCTTTTTCTTTAATATACCTGTATACCTTTGAAGAAATATACAGAAAAACGATGGTAGTGATGCTATTTGCGGAATACCCATCTACCCATCTATTATACTTTTTCGATAAAAATAGAAGTATGAAAATTTAATTGGAATAATCCACTTATTGTAATAAGAACTTATTGTAATGCATTTTTCGATGGAAAATACAACTTTTATTTTTTATCATTATGATGTAAGTATACCTTACATGATACACCTATTTTATACGTTGATTTCATGGCAATAAAATATGTAACTAATACTACGGTGAAAATATCAAATTTACTACATTGAAACATCATTAACGATTCTACCTTCCTCGCAAGGAAAAACAAGTTATTTTAGGAAATTACGGTAAGGAACATAATACGAGTATCTACTAATTGTATTTAAAAAAATAATCATTATCATTAATTAATATTACCATTACTGTTTATTTAAAATTTTGTACTGAGTTTACATTCACAAAAGAAAAGTTAATTCATTGAATTCATTATTTTATTATTTTAAAGTTACATAATTAATTTACATTAAATATATTATTATTCAATAATAAATACTAATTATTATGAGTTGTAATTTTTCATCATTTATTTAATTAAATTATTTAAAAATTATTTTTAGTTCACACAAAAATATAATATTAATACATAAATTGTATATTATTTTTTTTTCTGAGTGATTTCAAGCAATGTAATCAATTTTCTGACTCCTTTTTATGTTTATAATTGTCTACTCTTCGTCTTTGTCAGTTATTTGAATATTTACCCATACCACGATTGATTTTAAATTGTCACAAGTCATTTCCATCTTGAATTCAAGAATTATTTTTTTTTTTTACCACCAACATTACAAATTATATTCTCCAATAAAAAATTGTTCGTATTATATATATAAAAAAAAAAAACGCAGGCCTTTTTCTTTGAGAACCATAAGATCCAATCCAATTGTATAAACCAACAGTCACACAACAAGGACTGTTAATAGTCTTATATTGTATTTTATTTATAAATATAACGAGCACGGAACAGTATAGAATGTAATAATAGCGTAAAAACGTTTAAAACAGAATCAATTTACACATTTTATAAACGATCAAATGTATTTTATCAACGTTGTAAAGTATCCATTCAATCATACATTCGATTGTCACACAATTAAATCGAACGAAGAAAAAAAATATGATATTACAAAAAAATATACACTTATCAATCGGTTACAAATTCTATTTATATTACTACAATATTTCAAGTTTCACTAAAACTTTTGTAATAATTGAATTATGTTCTAAATATACTATACATGTAACAAATCGATTCACACGTGTGAGGTAATATTATTAAAAAGTACATAATTGTAGTATAAAATATCATGTCTACAAAAAATGAATATTATATTAATTTCAAACAAAACAAATACATAATAACATATTATTTACTATGAAAACTAAACATAATGACATTAGCTTAATTACATAATACATAATAACGACGTGTAAAATTCAGTCTCTTAAGGAAGTTTATCCGACACTGAACTCATACGTTCAAAGTTCGGAATAAATACCAAAGGCAATATTATCCTTTCAAATACTAATAACAATTTTTGTATATAATGTATATATCTCATATAAACACTGATGTATATTTGGAAACAAGTTCAGTACGTTTGTAGTCGGTCGATAACTCGGTAGGTCCAATTGTATTTGGCACTTGTCGTGTACATACCGTGTCCAAAACATTCAACAGATGAAATAACAAATCCGTGTGCTCCACACTGTTATCAAATTTTCAGAGTACCTGTGAGGCTACTAACGTTTTCTGTTAACATAATCCAATATCTGTGGTTTAAAATTTGTTATTTGATTTTTTTTTTTTTTAGCCTCTTTCTCTAAGCAGCAAACCAATATCCATATACACGAGCGAGTTGTTCTGCATCGTACAACACGTTTACTCAGCTATATCCAATATAATAATATACAATACATGATAAGTCTACAGCATTTACGGATTTAAAAAGAAACAAAGCGTGTGCAGTTACCAATATTCTGGTGATAACATTCGTGCAAACAAAAATGTCAGTCAATCGAATTGGGTGTCATGCTAAAGATTTATGTACAAAACCGATATAAACCAATTCAATATGGTACGCATGCAAAACTTGACAGCAATAATAATTATTATTGTTTAATCGAAAAATTATTTCCAATCGGTTCGTAATAATGTACCCCTTAAACACGTGATTTTCTGTAGATTTAGTTGCGTTCCGTTCGCCGTTACCTCGGCATTGGTATGTTATGGTTTAATATTTATGTAAAGTACAACACTCAAAAAAACACACCAATATCATGCACCTATACTAGCGTAAAATAATAATATTAAAAAATAAAACCAAAAATACAAGCAAAACAACCGTACAAAAAAATAAGAACAAACACTTTAAATGATTACAATAACGTGTTGAAGGAAAAAAAAATGACCCATCATTACCCAGTAATCAATACGTTTAAAAGATTATATTATATACAAGGTGAAAAATAATTTCAATTTTTCAAAATAATTTTTTAAATTCAGGAATTCGTATTACGTGTTATGCGTGGAAAATACATCACTATACGCCCACGTGATTCGTATTCAACGCGGTTAGCCACCAGGGACGTAGTAGTTACAAGTGCATTATTTGTTTGTTTATTTTTATTTATTTTCTACAAATTTAATTACAACCTTTGCACCGTTTAACACCGTGCAAACCGCACTCAAAGTGTGATAAGTGAGCGATAATCCCGTTTATGAACTGTCCGTTATCCTTGTACGAAACGAACGTGTTTTTGTGTTGCGGACCGAGAGTGCACACGATGCGCACGTAAATTTTTATCCGGTCGTCAACCCCGAAACCGGGTACGTACAAAGAGACCACGGACAGCGATCGATCATTATAACGTTTGCACCGCGTAAAAAACGAAACGGAAAATTCAAATCTAACCTGCGTCCATAATTTGATCCCCGACGTCCGTGTTTTGGTTGCCCTTGTGGTCCTGTTTCACGTTCATCCACGTGGATTTCAGCACGCTGGACGCAGCCGTCATGTCCTGATGCCCTTTGTTCGCGGCTCTGCAACCGAACCACCAATAGCCCGCGTTCCTGGGGAACGGAGGGTCCGCGACATCCACCTGCACATGCCAAACAACGGAAACGATGTAATCGGTGCCGTCACAAATGCTCGTCGTCGAATCAAACTGATATTGGCGGACGAGCGGTGTTGATGGTAAACAATATTTATGTATAATATAATTACGGCAAATGTTCTGTCGTTAAACCGGTAATAGTTATCGTCTTTGAAGAAATACGTGTATCCATTCGTGTAATGAAGCGCCGCATCTAAGTTGTCCGGTATACCATCCCAGTTGCTGATCGGCTTAGGATATGTGCTCTTGACGGGTGGCTTTTGCGTCGGGTCGAATTTCCAGAATTTCGTTCCTAAAAAACATGAACACGTTTCAACACCGCGAAAACAACGATCCAACGGTAGACACCAATATCCTTATTTGACGTGTTCAGTTCAACAAGTATATTGTTTTTGTTGTTGTTATTGAACTAATAAAAATTAGTGATTAAAAGTCATAAATCAACTATTATGATAACTAAATGACACTATAAACTCAAAGAATTAAGTAGTTATGAGTAGTCTACTACTATATTTATGATGATGAAATCGTTAAAAATTTGTATTTGGACTCAGGGTGTGCGTGAGAAAAAAATATAATTCTTACAAATGTGCAAACAAATACTAAACATAATAAATTATGAGTAAAGTCGTTAAATGAAATAGATAAGTAATAGAATTCTCTTTCAAAAATTAAAGCAATATATTTACTACAGGAACTCGTATTGATTCTATAGAGGTAGCAAGAGTAATATAGGTAATGACTTTTATTTATATATCAGTAGATAATCAAGTGCTAAATAAAAAAAAATATTGAACTCACAAATTAATAAAAAAAAAAAAGTCAATATCTGTTTAATAAAATTTAAATAATCATGTGAATGTTATAAAAAAAAGTGCTTTGTTCTGTTTGTAATAACAATTTAAACTTTTTGGCATTTTATAAGACTAAAATTATTTTCAATTCATCAAACTAATTATAATTCAGTTATAATGTAAATAAAAAAAGTGTCTAAAGAATGTTTCAAAAGTAAGTCATGTTGATAGACATTTACTTGTAGTGTGACTGCCGGAAATTACTTAGGTAATTTTAAATATCATTCAGAACTAAAATTGTTTTAACATTTTACGAAAAAAAAAGTCAAGAAAATATGAAAATATAAAATATCTATAAATGGCCCAAAAAAAGTTTGAAAATTATATTATACCATTTATAGTGAACAAAGGTTTAAGTGAATAGTTTAATTTTTCAGTAAAAATTGCAACTGTTGACAGACATGTTTTTAGTTGCGACGTAAAACAAGTTTTATCGAAAATCAGTGTGCCTTTTTTTTCGTCTGTTTTTCTTAATTATTCGGAAAACAGTTGAGAAACTCAAAAAGTGACCCTCTCAAAAGTTCTAAATCGCAAAATCGCTTACCGGAATTCCGACAGTTCGTATTGACAATAATCCCACGAGTTCCAGATATCTCGTGCACTAATCGCTAAACGCGCCTGGTCTTAATTTCGGTTTCACATAGTGTGTACTCGAGTACGCGTCGATGTAAAATAAGTGTAAGTATGTAAATCAATTGTTTATGCTACGTAATTACAATACGGTTCGTAGTGTGTGTGTGTGCGCGCGCTCTCCGTTTACCCTTGTGGTGTCCGTAAACGTATTAAGTAATCAAAGTAAAACCACTTACCATCATCGGATGAAATGTCATGTATTTATTTTTTTTCAAAAAAAAAAAAAAAACTTCTGTCGTCACTGTTTAGTTTAGTAAGTTATGAAACACAAATAGTTATACATGCACGGTATGATTAGTACGTTACGGGCATGTTGCCCGCGCACGACTAACCTTTGAAGAAGTATATCTTCCCGTTGCCACTCCAGACGAGCGCGGCGTCCACGTTATCGGGTATGCCGGCAAAGCCCTCGGCAATGTCTTTTGGATACCCGTCGTCCATGGCCGTGCCATTGTACCGCCAATATTTCTTGCCCTTGAAGAAGTATGTGTTGCCGGTCTTGTACGTAAACGCTGCGTCTATGTTGCCGGGCAGCCCGGACCACGTGCCCGCGATCGGTTTAGGGAACCCTTGCGCCAGCCCGTTATCCGTCAGCTTCCAGTAGTAGTCACCTACAAAATCCACCGTTTACACCAGTGGTTCTCAACCTGTAGGACGCGCTCCCCCCCCCCCCATAGGGTGACGTGACAAAATTTCAGGAGGGACGTGAAAATGTTGAAAAAAAACCCAAAAAACGAAAACATTGCCTTGCCGCTGTGTTGGTTGCCGGCCGTGGTCGATTTTTTTTTTTTTATGCAAATAAATTCATTTAATGTTAAAAAAACTTCATTGAAGTTGTATTCTTATCGATCCAATAACCAACATTGAAGTATAGTTTACATATTATGCATACGTCATCAATCTCATAGAAGTGAGGGGGTGGGGCGTGAACTCTTAAAATAGTTCGAAAGGGGCCGTGCGGACCTCAAAAGGTTGAGGTTTATACAACAAGACCCGTCGTCCCAGGGGGGGGGGGTTAACCGCTTACCTTTGAACACGAACGTCTCGCCGTCGGCCGAGTTGAACAGCGCGTTCACTTTGGTGTCGGTGCACAGCTCCGCGTCGCTGCCCTCCGTGCCCGGTGGCTCCTGCGTCGTCGTCTTCTTCCCCGATCCCTGCCCGGTGCTGTCTTCGTCACTACCGCTGTCCGCCCCCTCAGCCGAGTTGTTCGAACCGTACAACGCCTGCAAAACACCGCGTATAACCACAACTGGGTATGTGTTTTTTTTTTCTGGTTTTTCATCTCGTTTCCTTGTGTACCAACCTGGATGGCTTCTATGTCATCGCTGTCCAACGAAAACGCTGGATTGTAACCCCTGTAGAATGGTGCCATCAACGCGGACCGCACGTCCGAGTGCGACAGACCCAGCGAATGCCCGAACTCGTGAGCCGCTACTTGAAACAAGTTTGTACCTTTTGCAACAGGAAAAAAAAACGTTGGAGTAGGACCGGTCGAAACCCGTGTCTCCCCCCCCCCCCCCCCCGTGGTGTTTGGCGGTCAGACGGAGTTCAAATATTTTTCGACGTTCTGACGCGCACGCAAAGATCGAGGTGAGATCAAAAACAATCGTTTTTGACAATCGTTTCTCGGATGGTACGACGGTCGAAAGTGTACTGGTGTGGATGCCCATAAGACACATTATTTCCTCCCTGATTAAGCAATTTCCAATGACACTATTTCATCGTAATAACGATGTTTGATAGCGAATAGGAATAAGCTCGTCGCTTTTGATTTCCAATACGATTTAATTAAAACATGAAATTTGGCATTGGACGAATTTTTTTTCAGATGGTTTTTCAATGATTTTTAGTCTCAGTAAAAAGTAATCAATAGAATATTTCTTCGTCGAATAGGAAACTATTTTGCAGGGGCGTATTTCATGGATGGTGAAGGGGGCGATCACCCCCCCCCCCCGAATCCGTATTTAAGGAATCAATCATACGTGAGATATACATTTCAAATTTTTTTAATGTGGATCATTTTATAACGATACTTAGCATTCATACTTAGTAAAAAAATCAAATAAAACACAAGCCTAACGTTCAAAACAAAAACAGGTGTTAAAAAAGAACTACACAAAAGTCGATTCTGAGTGGATCTGGCATTAGATAAAAAAAAATAATAAAAGCTACAAATATTAAGGATTTACCTGATTTAAATATTGTTAGATATTTTACTTGTAAATTTTGAACCTGAATTAAAGAAAAAATTGTAATCCCCCCCCCCCCCCTAGAAGTAAGTCTAAATATGCCTTTGCTATTTTGTTTTTCCAGAATATATTTTTAAGAATTATAAAAACGTCATTCCTTATATCGATTCAAAATTACATAGACGAGTAGACTTTTTTTAAATTGATTTCAACAGCACTGCTTCTGGCAGAGATTTTTTCTATTTAATCATTTAAATTTTAAACTTAACTGCAACTTTATATGAGTGTAAAGTTTTAGAGTATTATTATGTTGTGTATTTGGTAATTATAAATTAAAATCATCTATTGCTGTACACGATGTAAAATAAATATAACCGTACACTTTTATAGGTTTTTATAAAATCGAATTTCAATTTTACCTTTAAACGAACCAATGGACCATTTTTCTGAATCATCAAAATGAGCATCACCACCGTAAACGGGGAAAAAAGCATGTGCCAATGTACCACCCGGTCCATCAAATGGATCACCATCACCATGTTCACCTTTTTCGAATCTGATTTCAATATGCACCTAAGGAAAATTTATTAAAAATTATCGTATATGGGATTTGTTTGTCTATTAGTTTTTTTTAAATATTGAACAGTATATAAATAATATACAAATTATTGTTTTCAAATAATTATGCATCATATCACATCTGAACTACATCAATAAAATCATTAAATTACCACGAATGATTTTAACTAGAAATGTACAAAAAAAATATTAAAAATATATAATGCTATTATAATAATTATATAAAAATTATATAATTTTTAAGCCTCTTTTAATAGCCTAAACTCAATTTAAGATTCATTGCTATAGTCGATGATAAAGTTCGGCAGCTCAAAAATATTTTCCAATTTGTTGATGTCATCATCATATTCAAAGACATCTATTTTAAAAACTCATCCAGACAGTCAGTTTTGTACTGTTAAAACTATAATATTTTATAATAGAAAATATCAAAGAGGCCGAATACAATAAAATCTTAATCACTCAAAACTCGAAGTCTGAAGAAATTCTCTTAGCATTTCTTTCACGTTCAATTTATTAAACCTTGATAACTCAAATTATTTTTCAACTATTGAAATTATACTGTCATTGAATTAATTATATTTACATTTAGAAATTAAGATGTTAATATTTTATACAAAAATGAATAATTCCCAAAATAATTCATGTTTTCAAATTAATTAAATTATTTCAATCTTACTTGTCCAGATTTTTTGTGGGTGAACGTCAACGGTGTGACTTCAGCCCATACATCGAATGCTTTACGGACTTCACTGTCCGTTTCCGACTTATCCAACAGTTTAGGATATTTAGATATTTTATATGTCAAGTCTTTCACCCTCCATCTGCTACCTATAAACATACACATACATTTTTATGTACATGAATATATTAAACCTATTCATATACACAACACACGCTGCAGATATAATATATGTATGTATTGGTGTGTGTGTGTGTGTGTGTGTGTGTGTGTGTGTGTGTGTGTGTGTGAGTGTGTGTTTATGATATACAACACCGAATAATTATAGAAGATTAATCGGCTAGGTCGGAACATACATAATTATTATGCGCATAGCTTATGTAACTGACAATTCTCGCATGACAAATATATTGTCTCATTTCCTTGATCCTACTAGTATTTCTCAGTTCTACATTCTTTATTTTGTATGAACATAAATAACGTTTTTAAACAACACGGTATTTTATTATTATTATCACAGTTATCATTATTTCTACTGTTATTATTATTATTTCCATTATTATCGTGATTTATACTATTACAAGTATTATCATTATTATTAATATTATTGCTATTATGTATTATTATTACTATTATTACGATCATTATTATTATCAATTCGTAGTGAGAAAAATATGAACATAGGTACTGCAAATATGTCAGATTTTTCATGGAAATTCGTTTCATTTCAATGTATACCCATACAAGCGTAAAAATGTTTATTATTATTTAAATCATTTTTTAGCCTTATATATAAAAATCAAAATACAATTGGTCACGGCGTTACACGATAACCATGTATTTCATACACATACAACGGTAGGAAATAATATCAATTCATGACGAAATACATAACGATTGTTTTGGTTATTTTTTTATTTTTTTTTTGTGCAGTTATCTAAGGAAGGCCGTCATAAATAATGTATATATTATATATTATATATATATATACGAAAAATGTTTATAATTAAAAAATTATCAAGTTAATCACACAAAGTTAAATAATTATATTTAGACGTCAATTTTATTTCTTACACCAATGATTCACTTGATAATAAGTAGTTCATATTTTTAATAAAATAAATTAAAAAAACCACATTTATTACTGCTTGATGAACATGATATAATGTTTAAACAAAAATAAAAGAATAATAAACAACATAACACCAAGAGTGAACTACATGGTCATGAGTGAATTGAAAATAAAAATATTTTTAAATCTAAATCTGAAGATATTTTAAAACTTTAAAGTTATAGTATCACGAATAAATCTTAAATTAATTAATTAAAAATAGATTAATGAACATTGTATAAGTTCAATATTTATTTATTTGGCAAAAACTTTTTCGTTACCTATTAACCATTGCAATTGATATTTCGTAAAAAATACAATTCTATATTTTTGTTAGGTACCTACATTACAGCTTGTTCCCTTATTCATTATTTGTAATTTTAGTACATATTCGAACTTGATTTTTAGAAACCCAATACCAAAATAACAAATCAAATAGTTTTGATTAAAAATATATTTTAATTCAAATATTTACTACTTATATATAGTATTATTATATTGTAAAATGTATTCGTGATATTATAATTTATAACTTGTAAAGCGTATTAAAAGGGTCTGAATATTAATATTAGAATTTTTTGCGTCTCATACACATTGTTGAAAAAATCATTTTCCATATGATATATCATATAATTTAATTGTTTACACAATTATATTATTAGTACTAGTATTGAATTAATTAGTAAAAATTATCTTTTATTAATAAAACTAGAAATCAATTATTAAGCATAATATTCTTTTCAAATTGGATTCAAGTTTATAAGTAATCAGTGGCGTATTTTTAGGAGGGAGGGGAGGGTCCAGGTATCGACTTCAACAGTAGAAAAAAAAGATTCAAAAGTCATAAATGACTTTCTACAAAGGTTTGAAGAAAGAGAACATTAATTTATATCTTGTTGTTGTAAATAACTCTTTATCTATATTTATAACAGTAATAGAATAATAAAATTATTAATTCATACCGTATATGTATTTTTTATAATATTATAAAATCGCTTATTAATTAGATTAATAAAAGTTTATAAAATTTAATTAATAAAATTTAAAAAAATTAATTAAGCAATATAATACAAATTATTTTATCGAAAATAAAACATGAAAATACCTTAGTAATGCATTTCAATAAGTTATAAAAATATAAATAAAAAATGAAAAAATACTATCCAAAATGATTTGATCACAATTGTGTCCAATATACAAATTACCTATATCACCGCCTACAAAAATGTATAATAGTGCGTGCTTGAAACATATTTGTTTTATTGTTTCGGTTTCTGGCCAGAGTATATTCGTCAATAATGATGTTTGATTAAACCGGATGTTCGAACTTCCGAGTCGTATAACTTTTTTCAGATGGACATATTGTCATAGAATCATGATCCATGTATATGAAAACTATTATGCATATACAAGATATATGTTATAAAAACATTATTCCTAATGAAATGCTAGTATAAGATAATTTTAGTAGGATAACTTAACGGATTCGTTTGGTACGAATACCAGTGGCCTAAATATTTAGGATTACAAGCAGTTTTTTAAGGTTGATAGACTAGCGGGGAACTTTTCCTCTACATCCATCTAATACTTAAACTCAGTTTTATTATATTCTAAATTTAAATAAAATGTATGTATTACATTTTTTTTTTTTTACACATGGCATTTGTATATTTGTGAAAAACTAAATTGTATTAAAATTATATTGTAATACATTTTTATGCAGTTAAGATAAATATAAATTTTAAAATAAGATATTAAAAACACATATTTGAAATAAAATTAAAAAATACTGCCGTCCCTATTTCAAAAATCGCAAAACATGTTTCAGAAAATAACCATAATACTCGTATAAATGTTGATATCAATGTACATTTAGAAATATTAAATACCCAAAAGAACATTTACATTAATTCAGTTTTAGAGTAGAAACATATATGCAATCAGATAAAGAAAAATCATTTTAATAATAATTTAAATGTACAAACCTATTTTAAAAATAATATCATATATCAATACATTTTGATAATCATAAATAATAACAAAAATATTTATATTTCTTAACATATCTAGGTGCAATCAGAACTCATTTTGAATAATCTCTCCTTTCAAATTATTTCTATGTAAAACGACAAATTTTTCTCATTGTGATCTTCCCTTTATTATTTCATATTAAGTCACGATTTTATGAATTTTGTATACATCTGATGATGGATTTTACTTCAAAACTGGTCGTATATTATACATATAATAATACTTCAGGCTACGCATTCATTTATTTACATATTTCTTAATATGAACTATTTACTAATATATTCGTTAATGAGTATTAGCCCATTTATGTATTCTTATTTTATTCTATTATTTTATTATAAAGTATTATTATGCTAATGCTGCAGTAGAACAACACGAATTTAAACGTCGGAAAAATTTAGTCCTGCAACCCTTTATGCGACTCTATGCGACCCCCATTTTGCGCCACTGATGTACACTGTTTTATATTATAATAATTGAAAATATGCTTAAAAAGTCACTCATAAAAATTTGACAACTGATTAAATTAAATTAAGTTAAATTTTCTTCTTCAATATTTATAAATATATTCATATAATATATTATATATAAGATATTATATATAGGATATAATAAGATGGTATAAACGATTTAATTCTATCCAAAAAACATTGAATAACATCGGTACACACCGCATTGATATATGGCTCACACATAACTATGCATTTATATATATATACACAGGTATATAAAAGCGTTATTGCGCTGTCTCCATATATTGTATATATGTATATAGAAACGCATGTATGTATATATCTATGTGTGTGTGTGTGTGTGTGTGTGTGTGTGTGTGTGTGCGTGCGTATATAAATCTGTAGATCTTTTGTCCAGGACCGACTAGACAAGTGGAAAATTGGTCGCATTGAACTTGACAAAATACCATGAAGAGATTTAACGCATACACATTTTTAAAAGAACAAGTAAAATGGGCCGTTAGGTTAAAATCCTTAAGCGTGCGTACGTGTATGTGTGTGTGTGTGTGAGTGTGCATGCATGCTTGTATGGAAGGGGGTTCTTTTTACCACCAACAACAATTACTTCGCATTTATAGTACTACAGCCTATGACTAAGTACAATTTATTTATTTTCTATTGTAAAAATATACGGAAATTTCTATATATTATGATGTCATCGAAAATATATTTCCATTCGTGTATTTCACGTCAAAATAATGGATACAGAACACGCATATTGTGATGGAACTCATGCAGAATGCCTGTTGCAAAACAACATTATTAGCACAAAAACAACCTAATGCAGTATTGAATACAAAAGCTATTTGTGCTCGTTTATAATTAATTTCGTTTAGTTTTCAAGCATAGTATTCTATTTAATATTGAATTAAATACATTAATTTTTTAACAAATTGTTAAGTATCTATATTCGTTTATAGGAATTTACTTAAAATGCATATACGGATTTTAATTAAAAAGTTCGAATTATGATATAAAACTAAAAAAAAAAATCATATATTTTTATTAGTAGATGTACCAAAGTTGTTTGTTAATCTCATATACTTAATAATATTATTTGAATCTGTACCACTAAAATATAAAATTCCCGTTTTTAATTTAACAAATACGTATGCATGATAAACAAACAACCTGAATAATAATAAAAAAAATTATTTAACAGTGATACTCCATAACTTTGTTAGTAATTTGTCTTTACTTATACAAGTATATAATTCCTTATTTTTTTTAAATTAATTTCTTAGTACTTGATCAATTAGCAAATAAAATATAAATCTTTTTTTTGAATTTAACAAGTTATACTGTTAAAATGAATTTCTTACTGTAAAACATTTAAACGTTACTAAATACATTAAAGTATAACATTTTCTTCTCTCTAACTTTTACACTACTATTTTGTGCTCTAAATTAATATTTTAAATAATTATTCAATTTAATAAAAAATTAAAATTTTTTTCTAGGGTAAAATTATGCTATTACGACTATAATTTATTTTATTTAGTACAAGGTACAACAATGATTACAAAAAAGTAATTTTCTTTATCTTTCCTCTCTAATGACTATAGTCTAACTCTATAGAGTTTTCAATGCATAATTTTACATTCTATGGGAAAACTATAATTTTAATTATGTTTTAAAATCTTCATAAAATAATATATTTTTCAAAAAAAAAATTGAATTTTCATAAAATAACTAAAAGTTAGTTGATTATTTTTACAGTTCAAAATTATGTTCAACTTAATGATAAATTTCATCGCATTATTGTTAAATTTCAGATAGTCTATTATTCCATGTTCTGAACTATATCTGAACAACGTATTATGTTATATATATTTACATAAAATGTTATGTTTACCTTGTAAAGCGTATCTCCTAGATCTCGAGTCTGTGGCAAATCCAACTTTATCTCGGACCCCGCATCTAGGCATGCTCATGAAGTGCAGCGTGTCGTCATCCAAATGACCTTCAAAATCATAAACGTGATTGATTAAGAATCGTTAAGAATTAAATCAATATGTGTCATATTATAGTTATTCAGAGGATATAATTGTATATTTTCGCAAAAACCCGCAAAAGGAAATAATATACATGAGATCTATGATCACATACGCACGCGTATTACTTTTATTGTATGCAAATTTCACCTATTCGATTAAGGAACACTGTTCGTATTAAAAACAACGATATAATTTTTTGATTCGTTGTCGTATATTCACACATTAAATACCAGAGCATAAGCGTTCTTTTTAAATGTTCTTTGCATGAATGTAAATCGGTACATTTGGTTACACACGAGTCAATCGTTTCTACATCGTCTAACATGTAATATATTATTATTCATATGCATGCGCATTCAATACGATTTCTTTGAATGGTACTACTTTTTTTTTTTTTTTTAATTCAACACAAAGCTTGATTTTCCGACGTGACTTATCGTGTAATATTATCGTCTTGTATATGAAATATCTTATTCCCTGAAATTTAAATGATAAAAAAAAAAATTGATGAACTGCTAACTTTTATTATTGAAACATGCGAATAACGAATATTTGCCACCCGAGTTTGGAAAAAAAAAACTAAACCCGTTAAGAATATATCACTCCCCCCCTCCGCTATTTCATGGTTGAAACACGTTATATAAAAATACAACAGTGAAGTAGTCATACATTTAAATCTTCAACCAATGTACCAATAATCCAATTGTTATTACACTACACTTAATTTATATATTTTTTCAGTTTACAGATACGATTTTAATGCATTGCGTCCAGTACAGGAAAATAAATCAAAAAAAAAAAACGGAAAAATTATCGATGAACATTATAATTTTACAAGTAAAAACAACAAATAGATTTTTTCATTGTGACCTGAATAATCTGATTTTGTATTTCTAAAGGAATCTTTGTCTCTTAAGTTACAAAAATGAGAAACAGCTATGTAAATAAGATTTTTTTAATAATTTAAACCCTCCGTTTATATAACCGTCTATAGAACACAATATAAAAGTATTTTTTGGTAAAGAGAAAATATTAAAAATTTAAAACCCTTAATATTATAATAAATGTATATGAAATATTCTAATGCCCGCGAAAAGTGTTAATGAACGTACTTAAATTTTTTTAGTTATGAATTTATATGAATGAAAAGAAGTATAGACTAGGATACTAAAAAAAAGTAACTAATTCTAATCAACAGTGGCAAATAATAAATGAGAAGAAATTTTTAACTTAGCAAGTATTTGAATCGGTGAATAAGAGGCATTTTTGAAAATTTAAAGAATAAAATTTTTAAAATCTATAAAAAATATAATTTGTTAATTATTCATGAATATGTGATAAATTATATATAAATTATAAAAATCAACATATTTAAGGAAATCATTTTATAAAATTTAAACATAATTTACCATAGATAATCTTATTTTCTTAATGCTATTATAAAACAATTTTTTAACTAAGAACTTACATAATTAAAGGTAAAATACTATTTTTGATACAAGGATAAGCTTATGGTTGTGTGTATATGCTTGGTGAAAAATAATTGTATTACTTAGTCCTTTATGTTGTTTCGTTATAATAGTCCATTAATTCTAGTATATTAATATACATTTTTATCATAAAATAATTTTAAAAAATATTCAGTTATATAACTGTTAATAAATTATATTATGCATAAATTAAGTAAATAATTATAATTATCATTGAATTTTATCATTTTGAATTCATAAGATCAACCATTTTAAAAATAAAGAATATAAATTGTATTACTAAAAATAAAAATGTACTCATACTTTTTTAATAAGATACTCTTTAAGTTAAACACAAAACGAAGCCGAAAAAAAAAATTCCACTCCAATATTTTATTTTGAAAACTATAGCAAAATTATAAGCAAAAATGTTGATCAATTAATTTAATTATTATTTTAATATGAACTTCAAAGATTATTGAGTGAAATAGTAAAACTTTAGGTCATTTTTAATGCGTTTATCCATTATTCGTCTATATAATATAAGTCTTATATTGTTTCATTAATTTTAAGAAAATAATTAGCATTAAGACATTATGATATATAAATAAGGAAATTCGTTAATACATGGAAAAATAAATTTAAATTATAATTTTATTGGATTTAAATCAATTAAGATGACACTAGAGTAGGTAAGATAGAACAATAAAGTATAGTTACAATAGTTAATAAATTTTACCGATATGTTGATGTAAAATTAAAATCAGCAAGTGAAATGTAATTATAATTTAATAAAAACCTGAATAAGTATTAAATGTAAGTACCTGTTATGACATTATCCATTTAAATTTAACTGAGCCAAAAAGTATTTTTAACTGAACAGTTCTTGTCAAAATGTAATGATTTGGATGCAATAACTTATAGTTTTAATTCTAGAAAATATGTTGGAGTTATTAATTTAATCACAACTAAAACATTTGTAATGTCTATGGCTAAGTTCAGGTGAATTAACATCGCTCGAATGCCACGATTCACAAAAGAAAAATAGTTTAGTGTAACAACATGGCTAACGAGGGAACATCTAATATTATTAGTTAATGAAAAATTATAAACATTTTATGTGTATTCATAATTTTACTATTAACATACGGCGCTTTAAATACCGTAGTTTTTCAGAAACTGTGACATAGCACATTTTTTATATCGTGTTATTTGACAGGGATAATAATACAAATTAATTAGTACATAAATCAAATGTTTTCTATGAAGATGGATATTACTGTTTACAGTCGTCTCGATGACTAATACCGTGAGTATTTTAGAACTCACAACAATGTGTAGCGTGAATGTGTGGTTTCGGTTGAGGGCGTAGACAATTAAAAGTCATTGATGGGTTATAATGAAAAAATTGTTGAGTATTATAAGCGAACATTAATATGAACATAATTTACAGCAGACTTGATATCAAGATTGCATCGTCATAAACAGGTAACAGGTATTCTATATTCATCAAACCAATGGATTAAATGTTGATATCATTTTACTCGGCACATATTCACCGAAGTTATTTAATTGTTTATTAAATCATTTTTATCATATTTAAAACGGTCACAACTTATTTCGTTTGTAATGCGTTCATAATTTATATCCTTTTTTTTTTTTTTAAATCCATTTTAATCCAACATTTATAGAAGACATGTTTGTATACAATTCATCAATTTTCATTAGCTTCTAAACGGTGTTAATAAAATGACAGTGAATATAAATATTTCATATACTTATATTAAATATAATGTAGGTTTATTATTAATACGTCGAGTTCATCCCAGCTCATAGTATTATATTATTTAATATATTTATGATTTTCTTATCAATTTAATTTACTTCGAAAGCTCTAACTTAAATCATCTTTGATGCGGATATTAGTATAAAATTGTTTGAATCTTAAGTAGGTACTCCGAACATTTTACTGTAAACTTGTACTAATAGTAAGACTTCAATGAAATATAAAGAAAAATTGCCAAAATAATGATAAATGTATATCACAGAGGATATAATAATACTATAAGACTTATGTCATATTTAAACCCACACGTATAAGTAACTAGAATCAAATTTATTTTCAAACCAAATCATTATCAATCATTGAGCAAATAATATAATATTATTACATAACTATAATCGTTTTATGATAAATAAACTGTTAAAAATATACAGTTCAATAATTTATGACTCATGAGGAAATTTGACTTGAGACTCAAAAATGGCTTAAGATTATCTAAACATTGAATTATATGGAAATTACTTATTTCTTGCACACAATAAAATGTAGGTAAATTTCGCGTAAAAACCAGCTAAACACGTTTAATTTAACGGGTTTTTTTGTTCCAAGGTCTACCAGAAAAAATTGTATTACAACTTTTTGTTTATTTGTTTATCTATTAAAAAAACAGGCTACAGTGTGGGTTCAGTTAAAACCATGACAGTGAAGTGTTAAGGAAGGTCATTAATCTCCATGCTTACGCCCTTGGGTCGCGATATGAATCACTGAATGAGCTCGTCGATATACTATAAGATCAATTATTGTTCTCATTTAATAAATAATGCTTACACGAATAAAAAAATAAATAAAAAAATCGGAAATATTTCGTAGCAATTTTACGCATCACGATAATTTTGAAATGCAAATTCACTTTTCAGGTTCACTGACATTGATCCGATTTCTTTGATGATAACCCGATGAGTCAGGTAAAATGACGCACTTACCTGTCAAGTTTAGACCAGCGAATGACTGAAACTCCATTAACGCTCTTGCCATTGTTTCCTCGGACATAATATGACCTGAATTCGGATTTTTCATAGAAGGACTCAAATAACCGAATTGAGATAAATACATCTATAAAATAAATTATCACATACAATTTAAGATATTATACAAATAACATTTTAATAATATTTTTATCTGAATGGTTTACTATGATCTACAGTTAAACATATTATTTTATCAGGAAGATAAACAAAATTAAAATAAATTTTTCCTAATAAAAAAAATATTTATGATCTACCTAAACGTTTTGTATTATATTATAACCGGAAAAATAATTGTGTATTATGTATAATAAAACCAAAATATATAATCAACTATTCAAAGTATTAAAAAAAAAAAAAGTGAAATTTTTCTGCTTGGAATAAATGACTCGAATTCTCGGTAAACTTTGTAAACGATACTGGAAATGCAGTTTTTAAAAAATCCTGACAATAAAATGAAAACGTAAACATTTCCATTCGAAGTAAAAATTTGTTCAACATATGCAGCTGTAAATGATTGTACAAATAATAAAACGTTTTGTGATATTTTATTTCATTTTTCGTAATATTTTTTAAAAAGCACTTCATATTATTTCCCTTTTTAAAATACTATTACACAGACAATATATTCAAAATGTACATCTGTAAAATATTAAATCGGTTTCGATAAATTTGAACATCGAATGATGTAGTTCAAATGTAGATGTGGTGTACGAACTTACCGGAAAAGTAATTGGTACATTTTCTTAGTTTATACGGGTTATCGATTTCACGAAAACAATCACTCAACACGTAAGTAGATTTGCACATCGTGTTGAAATAATTTAAAAAATATAAATATATTCTATAACTCTGGATAATGATAAGATCACGAGAAACATGATGGGCTTGATACGATTGATTCGCATAAGGGAGAAAAAATACAAACATTGACGAGATAACCTCCGAAGGATGAGGGGACTAGACTAGTCGTAGACTAGACATGACTGTTGTGGGTATTTGTTAATCATTTGAAAAATACTGACCATTGCTTGTGCGTCCGTTTGGACTCCGACGGTGCGTTCCAACGTGCATGCTAAAATCACCAGGCCCAACATAACACAGGATTTGCAAGTCGTCATGATTATCGCAGTGTGCACGAACCGACGTTTTCGCGAAATTCTCTTGGTTAGGTTACGTGGAATTTTCGCGACAGAAAAATATCAATCGATTGTTACGATAACAACATCTAGGGACTGCTGATGACGATTTCGTCTAGCCGCGGCTTTCGCGTAGAAATAATGTTAAACGCAGAGATCAAAAAGAAAAAAAAATCACAATTACGTGCTAATTTTCGTAAGCCAACGTACGTCTAACTACAGAACAGCGGGGCAATCCCGAGTGCGAGGCTCGTCACACGACTCTGAAGCTGCTTAGCACGGTTCACCGTCTATTATATCGGTCTCCCACACCACTCTCCGAAAATATTTGTTCACATAATGGTACACGGTCGACCGTGCGATCCGTACGCGGAACGTTTTCCTGTGGCAAACCGATTTTATGATTATTATTATTATTATTTATTTACAAACACGTGTTCGACCGTAGAACCTTAACATTCGACCATTGTGTCCTAGTATTTTGTATCCAAACGCCGAGTACCGTGCAAGAACACTTCGGCATACAGTCGCTGTCCTCAACGATTTCCGACGAAAATAACCTAATTTTACAATTCCGTTTTATGAATTATTTTTTAAGAATTTTGCAACACGTTTTTGATTATTACCGTTTTTCCACATCAAATACACATCGTAAACTTAATTTTTTTTTCCTCCCCGAACATAATACACATTGTCCGATCATGATATTTATATATTTCGAATTATTTTTCTCAACTATCAATCCAATTGTTTACTGTACTAGTTGAATCGCAATTATTACGATTTTCGTTCAGCAAATATACGTCTTCGTAACAATAATTTTTAACGTTCTTAATGTTTCGGCTTTCATCATTTGCAACGACTGAAACTTATGGTTTTTCTTCAAAATCATACCAAAGTTTATTCATAATAGCATTATTCATGGCATTAGTTGTTATAAATTGTTAATTTATATGCTAACTATTAAAATATTATAACAGACATGGCGAAAATTCACGGTGACTTACAACAAATTTTTTTTATAAAGAATAATTTAATAAATTCGTCGTTTTTTACTAAATTAAAAAATAATATATTTAAATTTCCAAAAAAGCGTAACTTTAATAGTTATATTATTTTACACACTTACCTATTAGACGCAGCTGTTGATAAAATATAAATACAACTGTTACATTGAATTACGGGTCGCAGTTCATTGTATTTGATTATAATGAAGTAAATAAGATAAGTTCATGATGAGATTATATTAATTATCAATAGGGCTCGGGAAGTTGTAGTGCTAATATATGTACTTTTGCATACCGTATGATATTTTCTAGTAGGTATATGTTTTAATAAATTCTAAAAGTTAACTAAAATAAATATTTTTCATCTACTTTTCTATTTTAAAAAGTGCTATTAATTTCAAATTCAACACTCTGGTAAATTGAAATCACTATATGATAATATAACTAAAAAACTTTTTGAATTAATTGATAGATTATATAAATAAATAAATTTTATAATTATTAATAATAAAATAATTACAATAGTATTTATAGTCTTCGTATAGTAGTATTACTCCCTAATAGAAAACTATGACAAGTACCATATTTACTTAGAAGCTAATTCAGATAAGTGTAAATCTATATTTTAAAAAATATAATGGTTTATTTGTAATTTTAAGAATTTTGTACACGTCAAAAACACTTTAAACTATAATTGATCAAAATAACATAACAAATCGTTAAAAATGGTGTAGACAACTTTGTTGTTGATTTTATCAGCAACTATAAAACACAATAGAACATAAAATAGAATAATTATATTAATAAAAACATTTTTCATCGAAAATAAATTCAAAGTATGGCAGTCTAAAATGTCGGTGGTTACTTATGTATGGAAATTGATAATTTTAATGTACTTCCACAATTTTTATATTTTCACTTCTTATAATTATTTTGGCTGATTATATTTTTTTATTTTAAACTTAATGATTCAAAATAATAAAAATTTTAAATTGATTAAATAGCAATAACATTTTGATGCAAATGACACAGATGTAATTATAATGAGAATGTAGCTTTATTTCATTTTTTTAAAAGTCTATATAACCAACCTGATTACTAACTTATTAGGAGTTTATATACATAGTAGTATAATTTATAATTAAACATAAAGAGACAGATTCACTTGTCCATTTTGTTCAGAATTTTTTTTTAAATACATTGATTTCAAAAAAAATTAGAATAATAATTCACTTATATTAGTTACCCGTCAATATATTTCATCAAACCACTATATCTCATCCGATTCCAATATCTCACCCCACTGCTGAATCTCGCCCTTCTTTATTTTATTTGACTCTACTCTATAGTGAAAATAATTTATAAACAAATTACGACTTTAAACAAATAATTTATTAAATGGAAAAATAACATTTTATTAATTAAAATGACGTTAAATTTTCAAAAAAATAAACTTATTTTATTGCTCATTAAACATTTCAAGTTATATATACATTAAAAATAATAAATTATAACTTTTATTTCACCAAACAATTTGTAATATCTTTCAATTTTTATACAACTGATTATGTTAGTACTTAAATATAATATATAATATCAAGCATGTTTTTATCTCACTGAATATTTAAGCCATAAAGATTTGTTTTCCTTTAATCACCACTCCTGCTTCATTTTTTTTTTCTTTATTTAATTTTTTTTTTTTTTATGGCTTGCTAAAATTTTAATTTTAATAGCTATTTTAAAAATATTATTATAAAAATGTTGTTAAAATTCTATAAGTGTAAAAAACTAAAATGTTGTAGTGAAATAAGTGCAAGGAATGAAAATCAATTTTCCTACCTCACTACGTAATACATTATAAATTCCATAATTAAAAAAAAAATAAATAAATAGTGAAAATAGCATCAAGTAAAATTGATTAATTAAATCAAAATCATACTTCATCCTGGATAGGAGCAAGCTAATATTTCATGAAATATATATTGTGTGGTCTCCCTAGTCCATTTATTTAGTTAGATAGAGCATAATATTATAAATGACACATGTCTCGTGTGTCTTATAGAAGGTCTCCTCATCATGGGAATGGATAACAGTTGAGTTTCTAAGGAATTGCTGTGACACTTTAGCTCATTTAGCCCGATTATTCTCGTTCACTCTGACCATAGAATCGGTCGTCGAACAGCTGCAGAGCATATAGTATTTTATTTGTAAATCAGTGGTTTTGGTTTGTTTTTTTTTCTATGTCGTAAATCAGAAATATATAAAAAAATATTATTCATTTTATTACTTCGTTGCTTGAAATCTTTCGTAACACTAAAATACAAACATTAAGGTATAGACAGTTAATATGGAAAATAGCTCTAACATTTTTAATTGGAATTTATTATTTTATATCTAAGTATATGTACATAATAATAGCAGTAGATATCAATTAAAATTAAAATACATTCTTGCAGAAAAGGACCTTTACATCAAACTGAAAAATTACAAAATTAAAATACGAATAAACTGATGATTCTCATTTTTAGTTATCTTTATCAAATTTGTACTTTTATAACTACTTTATATATCTCGTAATTTGTAATTACAATTAGTGAATGTATTATAATTGTTTCAATTCTTGTCTTATGAATTTTTATTGTATTTTAAAATTTTATATAATTACTACTATGAGAATAAGTTACTTTTTAGTGGCAAATATATTTAAAATAATTACTTTCAGATGCTAAATTTCATTACGCCAAACTATTAATATGATTTGGGTTGTTCTTCAATAACACTTCTCATTCTTTTGTACATAACTCACTATTAATATTTAAATGAAAAATTAATACCTTAGTCATGATAGACTGTCTAGTTGAAATTAGCTACTTTTTTAGCCACTTCATAAACTCTAATAAATAATCATTATTTTCAAACACAAAAGATTGTTTGCTATTCATATTATAAAACAACCATGTCATTAATCATTGTTTTAAACAATAATAGTATATATTACTATAATAATTATTATGCATTTCGATATCATATCAATACAACTATACTTTAACCCGTTTGAAAAGTAATCGAAAGAATTTTTGTAATAATTAATTTTAATTTTTTCCTTAAGCCCCCCAAGTGGTCTAAATTGTAATCTATTGAAAACTTTTTCCAATCAATACTATATTTAATATCAGTCTTACTCGATTTAAAAAAAAATAATAGATTGACATAACCACATATCTAGGTAAAATTAAATAGGCTATTAGAAAATCCGATGATGATAATTATAGCCCCTATTCTTCAATTTCAAACTATATTCATTTCGTTTTTTTTTTTAATTTCAGGGGATACAAGTGCATCCCCTTGCATTCCTCTCACGGTTCCTATGTTTCTATGTGTAGTTAAATTATGACTTTAATTATCTATAATCGCATAACCTTTAATAGTAGGTGCATTATTTTATTTTATTTAAGAAATTTACATAGAATTCTTGGGCCAAAATCAAATTTAAATTAGTATTTTAAATCGCTTATAAATACTTCAATACATTTTATATAAATAGACTTTGTCGATACACATAATATGTAAATATATACACATTCAGAATAAAAATAGTTCACTAGAATTGATTATTATATTTATAATTTATATATTATATTTATGTATATTATTTTCATAATATATATATAACTCTTTGCAAGAAATATATGAGTAGATTTATAACTAAATAAACTCTAATAGTGCTAAAATTATTCCTTGATATCCAGACTAAATAATAAATATGAAACTAATTTTGACATTAAGTCCACCGGAAATCCCATTATAAGTGGTATGTTATTTTACTATTGAATATTGAAAAAATCATATCCCTTATAAATATTTTTCAATTTTAACCACATATATTCATCGAAATAAAATCATGATGTACTAAACTATTTGACAACAACCGTTCAATACTAATCCAGTTATATTAAAATAAGTATCTCGAGTTTG